TTCTTTCACAGATGATCAAAGAAAAACCAAAACAACTTGATTGACAAGGTTGCCGTTACCACAAGAACCCCAAGAGTTGCCCAAGTCCACATCTATAACCCTGTGTTCAGGATCAATCTGCCCAAGGTGGTCCTGTCCCTAAAAGACTGGCTTACAATCATATGGGACACCTCTTGTTTAGTTTCCTCAGCCAAGGCCTGGCTCTCCATGGCTCCAAGTTTGCCCTACTGTAGGAACAGTTGCATTGCAAGGAGTTATCAAATGCCAGCTGCCATGTGGGTACCTGCAGCCTTCCCTGGCCTAGAGTGCTGCCCCACAAGAAAAAGGTGTCCCCCAGGCCCCTCTAAACCCTTGGAAACCAGACAGTTAATATTGTCAACTTGATGGGATCTAGAACCACTTAGGAGACAAGCCTCTGGGCATGCCTGTGGAAGTTTCTAGACTAGCTTCACTGAGGGAAGACCCATCCTGAATGTGGGGTGGGGGCACCATCCCATAGGCTGGGGTCCCAGATTGGATAAAAGGGAGGAAGCAAGCTGAGCACCAAAATTCATCCCTCTATGGTTCCTTACTGTGGGTGCAATGTGACCGGCCACCTCATGCCTCCATACCTTCCCACCATGAGGGACGATACCCTCGAACCATGAGCTGAGTGAACCCGTCCCTCCTTAAGTTGAGTGTTTTGTCACAGAGACAGGAAAATGCCACACCAGGTATGATGGCTCACGTCTCTAATCCCAGCAACCCAGAAGACTGAAACGGGGGAATCACCAGGAGTGCAAGGCCAGCCTGGGCTACAAAGTGAAGCCTTGTCTTCAAAAACTAAACAGTAAATAAATGCCACTCTGGTTGGCCACATGGGGTCCTACAAGGTGGACCCCATAAACTCCTTCAGGCATGCCATGTGGGGGAGGTCCTTCAATCCACGCTGTGGCAGACCTCAAGTCCCCACAACACTCCACATGCACTTGGTCATTTGACCCAAGGTGGGTCTTGGGGATGAGAGCAAACATGGCTGCCTTCTGCATGTGGTTCCTAGAGGTCAATGTGTTTCTTGTATAAACAGCACTTTCATTCTCCATGGCAACTGGAGATGGAGGAAGGGGCTGCCGAGCTAGTCCAGGGTAGCCTTTCCCTCTGCAGTCATCCCCAGCATCTCCCACCCAGCTCTCCTCTGCCACGTGTTGCACCCCTGCCTCAGCTTCTGCCAGCCCCTGAGCATTTGGGGTGATCTGTAACAGCAGCTCGCGTCTTATAGGAGATTGTGCCCCTTAGGCAGAAGTGGGCATTGGCCCCTTCTTGAGGAATCTTGAGGGCAGGGTTGCCAGCACTGGATCTGCCCACAGTGGTGTGTCTGTCAGTGGGAACTCACTTTCCACTCCTAAGTTTTACCCACCATCTTCAGGCTGGTAGATGTCTGAATTTAGGGTTTAGGCCCAAGGTCTTTTGGTGGGTAAGGGCAATGGGTGCATGGTGGGCCTTAGCTCCTGAGAAGCATCACTGAGAGGAGGAACTGGAAGCAGTTTTTCAGGAATGAGAGGCTTTGGGGGGGGGGTCTTTCTGTACACATAGGGCTGTCACAGCAGAAACCAGCCGGGAAGGTCTTAACAGATCAGACTCTGGGAGATGGCTCTGGCTTGGGGTTGCAGAAGAAGCCTCTAACAGTGACTCTTTCAAACTGAAAGTAATCCTTGTGTGTTACAGCTGACTGCCCACCAGGGGCTGCCCTGACAGTGCAGGGTCTCAAGGGGTATTCAGCCCCCTCCTTCTGCCCCCTCCACAGCCATACCTGTGGTTGTCATTCTCATTCTATAGAGTAAGATCCGAGGCATAGAAGGTCAGGGTGACCTTGGACTCAGAGTCATACTTTACTTTGAACCAGGCTCAGTGACACTCCTGCCCCTCCAAGCAGTCAGGGGACAGCCAGTGTCCAGACAGCATCACTGCTCTGAGCAGGTCCCTGTGGGTGTGGTGTGAGGAAGTGTCTGGGTGCACTCAGGTTCTGCTGGCTGATGAAATGTATTCTGGGAGCCTTCCATGACTTCTGTCCTGAGCCAGGCCAAAGCCAGTGCTGCTGTCCAGGGGACCATGCCGACATCGTCTCTGAGACCCTCAAGTTAGGGCAACCAGGCCGGGCGGTGGTGGTGCACGCCTTTAATCCTAGCACTCGGGAGGCAGAGACAGGCGGATCTCTGTGAGTTCGAGGCCAGCCTGGTCTACAAGAGCTAGTTCCAGGACAGGAACCAAAAGCTACCGAGAAACGCTGTCTCGAAAATCCAAAAAAAAAAAAATTAAAAAAAAGTTAGGGCAACCAGCCCTCGGCTGCTAATGTACATGGAGAGAAGGGGGTTGTGCTGAGCAGCAGAAGCTCAGAGACACTCTCGTGGCTAAGAAGGTGCATAAAGGGACCACAAGGTTTCTACTGTCTGGCTCCAAGGCAGGTGGCTTTCCTTTGGGAAGTTGGAGGAGAAAGGGGTCTCCAGTAAGAGACCTGAGTCTATATTCCAGAAATTGAGGGCAGGCACAAAAGTGGGAAGATGGAAGGGTCCGGCATAAGCTTGCTTCACCCAGTGTCTTGTAAGGTCCCTGAATGCACAGCCACAAGTCCCTCCCCACCCCAGCTCTCCTCCCAAGCAGTCATGTGATAGCAGGAACTGGCTACTAGCCAGGCCCTCTCCAGTTACTGACCATACTTGAAAGGGGTTCCCTGGGGCCTTGTCACTAAACCACACTATCACGGGTACTGTGGCATCCAACCACAGCAGCCCCAAGTGACTGTGGGCCATGCTACAGCCTGTCGATAGGGGAAGCAGAGGACCACAGGGCCTGTTGCTTCTGCAGGCCAGCCTAGTGGTTCACCCATGGGTTCTCTTCACCCCAGTGGGACCTGATGGCACAGGGGCCTTTGAGAACTGAGTAAAAGGGGTCTCACACACCTGTGCGCATGACCCAGGAGGCTGGCGGCATGTCTCAGCAAACACAGCAAGGTTTGAGGCCAGCTTCTCAGATACCTTCTCAGACTTCTATGGCTAGTAATCCTGCCTAGACTGTTGTGCTCACAGCCTGGGTCGTTGCCCAGCCTATGTTGCCTTCTCCATAGTCGATGCCCAGAACACAGAGCACGGGGTGGAGGGTATTACTTACTTAGTATGACCCTGTGAGGAGTGACTACAGTGTCCCCAACGTCATCAGTCTCACCTGCCCAATGGGAACGGTGAAAAAAGTCACTGCTCTTTCCTCACCTGCTACCAGGTGTGTCTAACTGGCAGACCACTGGCCACATGTACCCAAGGCAGCTTTAACAGGGCCAACCCAAAATGATAAAACTGCTCAAACATTCTAAGATTCTATTGCCTTATTTTTTTTTTCCTTGCAACTTTACATGGTTAAGTATGAACTTTGTAGCTGGTAATGTCAGCCTAGTGTCGCAATGACAAAAGGTTGGACTGGCCTTCTAGGCTGGTTAGATGGGGCTGCACGGCTCCTCCAGCTCCAGGGTGCTGGGTCCTAGTCGGCTGCTGCCTGCAGGCCAGACTCTAAATCCTGTGCTTTCTGTAGACCCCAAGCCGCCAAAGAGAACTGTCACCACTGTGGGACTCGGAGCCCGTAGCTGCTCCTCACTCCCTGCTTCCTCTGTACCCCAGGGCTCTGCTACTCCCTCCGTTGGGGTTTCTGGCCACCGTGTCCTAGGTGCTCACACCTCCCACTGGGACTCGAGAAAAGAAAACCCTCTCCCTCCTTCTCCAGGTCCCAACCCCCAGACTTCCTGCCTTCTGACTTACTTCCGGGGGGCGGGGGCAATGGCTGAATCTGAGATGCAGACAGCCCTGTCTCCTGCCCTTCCGCACCCACCAAAAAGGCCAAAGAGGGCCACAGTTGGTGACTCTCGAGTCAGTAGGCAGCATCTTCCTTCCTGTTTGCCCTGCGCTCACCTCCAGGTGGACAGTTGGAGTTCTGTTAATGTTGGTGATAGGCGGCTTTGGCCGCAACAGCAAAGTTGAGGTTTTTCAGTCTGTTTCCTTTTAAAATGGAAATGCTCTACAAAGAGGTGAACCCTGTGGTTCTCAGTCCTCCCTGCAGCGGGGACACTGCCGGCCTCTCTGTCCTCAGCAAGGCATCTTCCTCAGGAGGGAGCCGCTGCCTTTCTTGGCTCTGGTGGGACTGAAATGGCCTGAGCCCCTCACTCTCTCACCGGTGCCTCAGCCTTGGCCTCTGTGGCCCAGAGAGACACAGAGCTGGCGGCTCCCCCTCCCGCCGGCCACCAGCCCAGCCTGCGGATCCTCTGCGCGCGGGATGACGCCCAGGCAGCCGCGCCGGTCGCACTGTGGGCTCATCAGATGACTGTGGGGGCTCCTGCTGCACACCACATTCCCTAGGACGGGGGAGAGGGAGGGAGGGGGCGCTGGCTGCAAAGCACAGGTCTCTGCGTCCCCAGTGCCTGCTGCTGGCTCGTGCACAGAACAAGCGGAAAGAACCTGATCTCTTCTTTAAGCCCCTTCAAGAAATAGCAGAGCAAAGCAGCTATCTTGGTTATTCCTCCGGCTGATTTCCTCTGCTTCCCTGGAAGATGCGTCTGGCCGAGACAGGCCTGGGGACCTCCTTCACCACGCTACTGCCTCTGCCGCCACTACCACCACCCGGGCCACTTACTTTCTTTGCTCTGGGCGGTGGCATCCTGGCCAGCCCCCAGGTCCCTTAAGCTGGGCCCCCTGCTCCTCGGCGGCCTGGGCAGCCCCCCTAGCATCCATGACTCCTTCCCCCGGCTGGCTCCTGCGCCCGCCGCCCCCCTCCACATCCCACTGTGCCCCGCTCGCCCATCCTGCTACCCCCCCACCCCCAGCTCCTCCTGCACCGAGCTGCTGCCCAGGCTCCTCCATGCTGCCTGGATCCGAGCTGGGTGATTAATTGGCTGTGATGATGAGCGTCCCCGGCGGTGGAGCAGCCACCGTGATGATGACCGGTTACAATAATGGTCGCTATCCCCGGAATTCTCTCTACAGTGACTGCATTATTGAGGACAAGACGGTGGTCCTGCAGAAGAAAGACAACGAGGGCTTTGGATTCGTGCTCCGAGGAGCAAAAGGTAAGCGTTCTTGGATCCCCCTTTCGTGTGTGTGTGTGTGTGTGTGTGTGTGTGTGTGTGTTATACACATGCTTGTATGATGAACCTTCCTTAGCTTGGAAATAAGCATGAAACAAGCATTTTCCTGGGGGCACTTGGTTGCTAGACAACGATGCTCTTTAACATTCTGCCTTCCTCCGAAAACATCGAGGCTTCCTGCAGGCATTGTTTTTAATTTTCCATCTACAGTGCTGTTCCAAATGAGCTGCTCTCTCTCCTTCCCCCCCCCCTTTTCTCTCAGTCCTGGGGAGACCCTGCAGCTTGGGCTTCAGTTCAGTCACAGTGCGCCGGCTCTCAAAGCTCCTGATCTCAGATACCCAGAATGGCCCAGCCCAAGTTTGAGGTACCCGGAAGCTGGCCTGTGCTGGGGACGGGTTTCAGCTCCAAGGATGGCAGGTGTCCAGATACTCACCTCTAAGGTGACTTTGCAAAGGCAAGGAGAATAGAAGGTCCCCTCTGCCACAAACTAAGCTGGTAGTGCTCACACCCTGTGGCCTGGGAATGGGAGGCTCTGGGTCACAGCCCAAAGCAGTGGCCCATGCTCACCCCTAGTGTGGGACTTACCTTCCCAACTACAGCAAAATGGCATCAGCCCTCCCAAGAAGAGGCATCTGCCTGAGGCAGGTGGGGGGTCATCCATGTGGCAGTTGTACCTGTGCGGGAGGCCTCCTTCCCTGGCTCGCCTGCCCACCTGTCATAGGCTCTGGCCGCCTACGGCAATCCATCCAAAAAGAGAAGAGCAGAGCCTTCTCCACCCCCAGGGTGCAGGTCCGTGCCTGTGTGGTGTGCCTTCCCCTCCCCCAATTCGGGCTTCACACCTTCCCACCCATCCACCCCCGGCCTCTCAGGAGGACTGAGAAAGTCCCTCAGCAGCCCTGTGGGCCCCAGAAGCCCAGCCTTGAGAGGCATGCTGGTCATGTGATGGTCACAGAAAGCCAGGTCCCCCCTGGAGAGACTTCAGAGCAGGTTCCAAATCAGCAGCCACCCACTGGGTCAACACTGTGCTCTGTCCCTATTCCAAGTTGAATCCCCTGGGTTGCGAGTCTGTATAGCTGTGAAATTGGCAGCCGATTTCAGTATGGTCTTTCCCTAGCTCTGTGTGGTAGAGGAAGGAACTTTTCCATTTTTAGAACTGAAAATGTTTAGTCATTGATACTTTTAAAGAAAATGACAGACGTGTAGACATGTACCGCAGAGTACTTTATCCCATGATTTCAGCAGAGAGGCCAAGAGGCATGATGGGGTACTGGCGTGCACCCCGCTCTGTGGCTTACATTAGCACTGATGTGCATGTGAGCAATGAGCCCCTCCCTCTCTGGGGAGAGCTAGCCAGGACCACTGCTTCCCAATGGGGGATGTAGTGGCTGTCTTCCTCCCAGGGTCCCATGGCCAATGGGATGACTAACTCGGAAAACATCCCCCAGACTCACAACACAAAACTTCTTTCTCTTCCTAGCTGATACCCCCATTGAGGAGTTCACACCAACACCGGCATTCCCAGCCCTGCAGTACCTGGAGTCTGTGGATGAAGGTGGGGTTGCGTGGCAAGCCGGACTAAGGACCGGGGACTTCTTGATTGAGGTAGGGCACAGGTGTTTGTATCGTGCTGCTTGGGGAGAGCGCCGACTCTCACGTGGGAGAGGGCTGTGTTTCTGAGCACAACCACTAGGTTGGTAGATGACTTAGGCTGCGTGGCTTGTGTTCCCCGAGTGTCCTCACCCCTGCTATTCCCTCTGTCCCTGATGTTGACTGTCAACTTCATAGTTCTTTGAGAGGATAAAGCATACATGGAACTTGGTCACGGGTCTTCAAGAAGAAGATGGAGACATCTTTATGATGCTGGGGCCACATAGATCTTTGGGTGGTTTGCCTGCTCCTGAGTCCTAAGAGCACGTCACCAAGCCTTCCTGTGGTATTGGCTATCATGAGGTGTGTTGCGGATAACTAAGAGTTGGTTGGTCTCTGTTCATTGCATGGTTGATGGTCTTGAAGGATCACAGAGCATGGGGCAAAGGCAGGGGAAGGAAAAGGGCTGGAGTGGGCGGAGAGGAATCTGCAATGTCTAGAAGTTTTTGAAACTAACTTCGGTTGGTACCCAGAAGTGGAGTGACGTCTGATCATTTGAGGAACGTCTTTGTGTGCAAGTGTTGGTTCTGTGAGTTTCACCTGCAGTTGGATGTTGGAGCCAGAGAGACAGTTGCATCCTGGTGCTTCAGGGCATCCCACCTCTTCACGGGTTTAGGTGTTGCTTTTGCTCTTACTGTGCGAGAGAACTTGTTACTCTTCGGAAGCAGGGTGAATGGAAAAATGTGGTAGGTTGGAAAGACAATGTTTTTAATGATCGGACTAGACACAAGTGGACTTTGTTGGCAGTTTTTGTTTCCCCGTGTTCATTCTGAGTCTTGCCTCAAGTGTGTCAGAACTCACACGCAGGTGGAGATCATGAACAGGTGGATCTCACCAGCCAATGGTGTCTCTACCCCCTGGGTGACCTCAACGCATGTCCGTCACATAAAAGAGGACACCCTCACCTGTCCCAGTGAGATAGCACTTGAAGCCTTTATCCTGCCTTCCATGGCAGCTGCCTGTGGTGGTTTCTATCTGTGGCCTTGTGCATATCTCTCTGGAGTTTGTCCGCACCGATAAGGGAGTGACAGGAATGGAGAGAGAAGAGAGTGCAACTGTTAGGGCTGGAGGCAGGTAACGAGTCCTGTGTGACTCTCAGGTCATTGTTGAAAGGCACTTTGAACTACTCTTGACCTCCCAGCGCCTGGTTTGAGTGAGACACAGGCCAATTCGGGTTCCTGCGTGCTGGAACAGTTGGAATCTCTTCCAGAATGGAGTCGCTGAAGCTGGCTGCAGCTCCTTGAGTTCATGGGGTTTGTAGCCCTCCTGGAAATGCAGACAAAGTTGAATCATCTTCTGTAGGATGCGGTTGTGACGCAAACCCTCTTCCTGTGTGTGAGAGACACTAGAGACAGAGGGGGCGTGGCCTGGGGTTGGGGCTCTGAGTGCTGTGTGGGTGGCCTTGTGATGGCAGAGAGGGAGCTCCAGGAGGTTGATAGGGGTTTCAATAATAAATGAGGGCTGCAGATGGACGCGTACCCCCTGATGTTCAGTTCATTTGACTGTTTCCGTGATAAATTAGTCAATAAAAGAAGCCTGGGCCTCTGAGGTGGAGATGCTTGGGGCAGCACTTTTTCTGGGGATGTCCTGCATACTACCCCACAATATTCCGTCCTCGTAGCACTTCCTTTGACTTTGACTATATATGTGTGTGTGTGTGTGTGTGTGTGTGTATACACACATACATACATATAGATATAACTGTGATATCTGATAGACTAGTCTGCTTACCTTTTGCAAACAAGCATTTTGTTCCGGTGACTTCTTAGTTCCAGGATTTTAGGTTTGTCTGACTTGGCCCCTGAAGCCTGGTAGGGCTGTGTGTGGTCCTATGATTTTGTGCATGGCCTACGGAAGGACTTAGCATGCCATGGTTCCACAAGGCTGCTTATCACAGCCGTGTGCTGCTAATGGGGCTGTGGCGTGCAGAGGGGTTGGCCCCTGGGGGTGGGGAACAGGCTCCTCCTCTTCTGCTCCCCAGGCTTCCTGAGGTAGAACTCAGAATTTCTGTTAGATGCCTGAATTTAAGTCCACCTCCCCGAGTTGTGTTGTTTCTTTGGCTGCTGGCTTTTGCCACTGGGATATTAAAATCGTTTATAAACCCTTACACAGGCATGTACTTCCCAGGGGACAGCTTCTCTGTATTTTCAGTGAATGGCTTTCCATCTTGGAGGGATTGTTTTTAAAAAGCTTTATGTGTTCCCTTATGAATCCGTGTGGGGTGAAGCTGTCCCCTCGAACACCCCATGAAGCCTGGGGTGACTGTGGGCAAAGCTCCCTTAAGTGTCGCCATGCAGCCCTGATTCCCCGTGCCCCTTAGCAAGCCTTCTCCACTGCCTGAATCTGCAGAGTATGTCAGATTTCATATTTTCTCTCTAAAATTACATGCTGTGGTTTGAACTTCGGGACCAGGGGGCCACTTTAGAAGTGAGAGTTGACTTTTAACATCTCAAGTATCCACAAAGCTCCACTCCTCTTTTTGTAGCTCGGTCAGATTGCCCTGACATTGTCATCGTGCCTGGTGCTGGAGCCTGTAATGAAGGGTTTCCTGTTGTACAGGATTTTCTCTGGCTCCGCCTTCTAGAGTTTTTCTGTCCTGATAAAGTGTTAGGGAAGGTTTTGTTTGTTGTTTTGTTCTTTCCTTGATAACTACACTTCTCCCACAAAGCAATCATAAGATTTGAGTAAAGCTCTGTCAACCTTTTAAATCTTTTAATATATACTCTGTGTGTGTGTGCACACGTGAGCGCACACACGTGTGCGTGCATGCTACAGTACGCATGTGGAGATTAGAACTTACAGGGGTCAGTTGTCCTTTTCCACCATGTAGGTTTCAGGGACTGAACTCAGGTTCTTGGATTTGGTAACAACTGCTCTTACCTACTGAGCCTTCATGCCAGCCCTATCAACAAGCTATCTTGAAGTCAAGGATAGAATGACAACAACATAAAAGACCCCCAGTGTCAGCATGAGAACTCAGCTCTCTTAAAGAGGTCGCCTCAGATCTGAGTGAGGGTGTGTGTGAGCCCCATGTATGAGGGCATTTGATCATAGTGGCTCTACATGCCCACACGCTCATCAGTCACTGGCTACAGTGGTGAGCTATAGCCCCCCAGTATATCAAGGTTGGGAGATACTCTGGCTCTTTGTGGAAAGTGGTCCCATGCCGAAGGAGAACTCACTCAGCTTCTCTGGAACACGAGAGCTGCTCTCCATGTTTTCACCGCATAGTAAAGGCTTTGTCCATGGCTGTTAGACCGGATTGCTTAGGGAATCACGACAAGGAGAAACATCTGGGCGCGCTTAGTATAAGCAGGGGCTTTGTTTTTGTTTTAAAGCATTTTCCTCCCATGGTGGTAGAGTTTGTGGAGAGGGAGCCCTGAGCTAGAACACCAATGGCAGTGTCATTAAGAGACGTGACAAGCAGCCAAATGACAGTGACCAGGGGGGCATTCAGAGGACAGAGTGGCTGGGCAAGTGCAGGTCAGGTGAGAGGTTGGAAACTCCAGCAGCCAAGAAAGTCATGGAAAGATGTGCGTGGCTGGCACAGGACAGCTATTCAAGGATGAGGAGAGGAGAACTGGCTGTCACTGTGATGTCCCGCAGGCTGGTGGATCCATCATCCTCTGAGGGTTGGCTGGCATTGCTCTCACCAAAAATGCCTGTTAATGACACAAGGCCTGGTCTGAGCCCCAGCCTGGTAGGCCGGAGCCATAAGCAGGACTTTGGGCACAGTGTCTTTTTTTTTTTTTTTTTTTTTTAAGCTGAGCAAGGGGCCAGGGAGAGAGGTCAACCAAGAGAGTGCTGTGCAAACATGTGGACTTCAGATCCCCAGCACCTATGTTAAAAATGGGGTGGCTAGGCATGCATCTGGGGAGCTGGAGACAGTAGAATCCCAGTGCTCACTGGACAGTCACTCTAGTCAAATCAGAAAGTTCCAGGCTCAGAGAAGAACCATCTGGAAAAATATTGTGGAAACACCGGAGACAGATATTCAACATCAACCGCTGACCTCTGCACACATGCGCATACACATGCAGCCGCAGCTGCACCATGATAGTAGACAGGATAGTGGCCCTCTGGCTTGGGCAGAGTGGGTGCTTAAGGCTCTTGCCTCGGCTTGCTCCCAAATCCCCTTTGCACACATAGAAGCGGAAGTATCCTTAGGGCCAAGGTGGTTTTTCTCACAGGCTCCACACTTGAAAACAAGTTTTATTTCTTGAACTGAAATACCCCATGTCTTACAAGTAGCCCTTAAGCCAACTTACCAGAAAAACAAAAACAGAAACAAAAACAAAAACACACAGCAAGCAAGTAGTGTCTGCCACAGGTGACACCAAAGGCCCATGTCCTTATTTACTGCCATTAAGGTGCACCAGTCTGTCACGTAGTTCTCCCTCTAATCTCTACAGAATTTTTAAAACGGCTTCTGCAGTCGTTGTACTGCAGATAAGGAAAGTAAGGCACCGAGAACTGGGGTCGCTTCCCACAGTCACAGTTAGATTATGGGAGACTCTCAACCCTGCCCAGGCTGCCTAACTAGGTGCCCTTCACCTCCCAGAGCTGAGACCCGCACACTTTGCTTCCGCCTGTGCATGGGGCAGGAAGCAAGGCAAAGAACGTTGTACCTGTTTCTCTTTTCAAATTAGCAACTGCTTTTCGGAACCATCATACCTGTTGCTGGTGACGACACATCTGTGTTGTTAGAGCAAAGGCCAGAGTGCCGGGAATTCTGGGGAGGCCAACATGACAGCAGTTACAGGAAGTGGAGAACTGAGCAGGCAATTTCACATCTAGGAGTTCATCCTCGGGGAATTGTGTTGAAAGCAAGCAGCAATCACAGCACGCAAATAAAATAATAAGAGAACAGGAAGGAGGGACAGCCAGCATCTGCTACAAATCCCTACAAGGAGTCCTCCATGCCCGTCGGGTAGAGTGCAGCTCTGTTTAGTGAA